AAAGGGAGTTCTGGGACACCCTGTATATTCGGCAAAATTAATTCCTCGGAATGTTCGCTTCAGCATTTCCGATTGCTATCGGATTTCCTTTTAAGGCGGAAAATGATCTAAACGCTTTATTGGATTGCACTCAGTTAGTCGTGACAGGGACATCGCGTGTCTCGTCCCCAATTTATAACTGCACGTTTATTCTCTTAACGCGGGATGCCCCGACTTTTCCGGCTTCCTGTGTTTTTCTACTTCATGTCCGTGCATTCATAATGACTCGCGAATGATATATCGCTGGAATATGCAAAAGCATCTTTCCGCCTGACGTTAGACACCTTTTATAAGTAATGTAACGATGTAACTTATTCGCTTTCGGGCATCTGAAATTCTAAAGCTACAGTTTTTGATTTATGCAATAAATGCGTTTGACAAGGTCCTCAATTGCAAAGTTGAAGTACAGATATATCGAAATTTGGGAATTTTCATGCTTTATACTATTAAGAAAATGTCTCCCTTAAGTATTTCTTTGTAAGCTGCTACTACAGTCAGGCAGTTTTGTAAAGCGACTTAGCAAATATTTTATTACGTGAGTTTCGAAAGCTGTAAAAGCATTCTTGAAGAGATGTTCTGGTCCTCACTTTCTATTATACTATAAAACAACAATTTTTTAAAGAAGATATAGATTTATTAACTCTAGCAATACTAGCACTTTCTTGTCTCTTGTGTCTTTAATTATAGTAGATCGCGATGCAATTAATCCCCATTTGGTAAGTTCCGTCGATGAGTTGATGCGCGGTAGATATCGCTCCACGGTCAGGTATTCCTTCGGCGCAGATATGGATCGTTGGAACGTGAATCAGAAATTCATCTTCAGGGTGAATACGCGATGAAACGCGAGTTTGCAGAGACAAACGCTGGCTTAGTCTCTACATCATACCCTCGGAGCCTCTCCAGTCGTTCGGGATTGTGCCCTATTAATCCTTGTTCTCGTCGCATGGATCGTGAACACGTTCGCGATCGTGATCCGTGATTTGCGACTCGAGTTACTGCTGATTGTGCACTTGAACCGACTCGCTATTCCTCCCTCGACGTATCACGAAATTCTTGTAAACCGTCTACAAAAATCTACGACTAGTCGTATTTTACCTGAATTTCAAATATATCTGTAGCAAGTTCCTGTTTCTTGTCTACGTTAAATTTTTTCATTTCTATCTGTGTCGTTTCATGCATTTTGAAAAACTGATTTAAATTACAATTTCACATTTTGTTACGGTTGCAAAAAGTTACGTGTAATATAATTTCAAATGAAGTTTCTTGCAGAACGATGCTTCCCTACAATATTCCACGATTGAAATTAATTTTCCACGAATAGTGGATACTCTCTCCTCCTCCTATCTCCGTCTCTCTTCTTCGAATGCTCATCTGGGCGACAAATTGGAATATATTGACTTAGAATTACAAACTAAATCTAACTCGTAGTTTACTCCCGAAAGTTATTGCATTTAATTAAGCGTTTATATCAAGTTCGACGGTTTGATTAAACAGCACAAAATAATTTTCGGCAACACAAACAAGCGTACGACAAATAATATTTAATTACCCAATTGCGAACAAATAAGTTCAGTCAATACCTAATTATACTTTACGAGGCAACAGTCATGTGGAATCACTTTTCTTTTTTATCGTTATCTAATGATACTCCTCTTCGACGACGAAATAGTAATTTCAACAGTTTATAAATAATGCAATTAATTAATAAAATCAATACGATCACTACTAACGCCACGTCTAATAATAAATATTGGTTCCACGTTAAATCCCAGGCTGCTCTTTTTAGAGAATCTGCTCCATGACGAACTAAATATTCTATCCAATAAATTGGTTTTTCCAAGGGCGGCACCAATCGATCTCTAAACTGCAAAGATGCTTTCCGTGCCATGTCTGTATAACTGTAGATTATGACATACACAGACATACACAGTTTACATAATATTATAATGTGTAAAATTGAAAGGAACGTTCATAACATCTAATAATTAATCTACCAAAATTGCAATTTATTGATTTATTACTTTATATCTATTCTATGTTTCTATATGAATTATTAAGTACAACATGAATAAAAATATTGGCATTATCTTTTAATTAATGTTTTCTCAAGTATTTCTTCTCGATATAAAGCTTGTGGTCGAAGCAATTTGATCATAATAACATGCTCTGGAGTTGCTCCGAACAATTTTCCGTACTTCTAGTTTGAAACATTCCCTTATACAAGCAAAATGTGTACAGTTCGTACCCCTATACATATACACGTACCTACAACTCGATTAACCTATCCTATCGCAACAACGATTCGAGTATAGGCAAAATAATGAAGTTCTTGGTTTCAATCGATCAAGTCGCCCGCATTCGGGTTGCGATTTCAATGGAAGATTTATTTATTGTGTTAATGAGGATTCACTTGCGAACTGTGACCTCGATTTATCGAAATAATAAACTGCAAATATTCTTATTCCTTCATTTGCTCTGTTGTATGAATTAAAAATAAATAAAACAATTGTGTAAATAATAAATGTAAAGTCCAATTAATTTTAAGTATGACTGAATAAAAAAAAGTACCATAAGATTATATTTAAATAAAATTAAATTTGTACACTCCTTCCTGTCCTAACTGTTGCTATATGCTCTTAATACTTTTCGTGGTTCAGTTCTTTACTTCTATCTGAACTTGAGCCACGAAATTGCCATTGGCACGAGAAACGGTGATTGTAATTACCTCTTGTTGACGAGCAGCTCGTTCAAAGCAATCGATATCCGCCCATATGAAAGTTGACTGTAATCCAGCTGCGGAGCCAACCCCTTTTTCACGAAGTAGGCCATCTTCAAGTGCTGATCGCCGAACAGGGGTATACCGAGGAACGGTACCCCGCAATAAATTGCCTCTTGCGTACCCAGCAATCCGCCGTGTGTAATAAACAGCCGTACGTTCGGGTGACCTGGTAATTTACAAAATCGATCCTCCAACATTCGAAATCTCGATTTAAAAAATTCTGATATCAGTGCACACTATAAAACAAAACTATAAAAGTAAACTCTGACTGACCAAAAGTATTACATTCACTTTTCATGAAAATGTTCGTTTAGAGCATCCTTAGGTGGATAAATGATTTATCAATAAATTCGTCGATCATGAGCAGATTTGTCAACATCCATACGCGCCCCGTTTACGCATCCAAATCAATTACTTGAACGGCGATCATTTGCATACAAAGCGATCCAATTGCTAACAGCATGCAAAATGGAAATGCGACGTGCAAATTTGGATCCATCCCAAGATTTAACCTAGACCCGGCCTAAATTCATCCCTGCCCTAATTCGCGCATTATTCTCGCTTGCCCCTGCCTCCTGTAACTCGTTCCGTATTTACACCGCGCGCAAATTCCGCCGGGATCACGCGGAATTCCATAACGTTTTCGTACGTGACGAGCATATCGAGCGGCGGGGCGCGATGCCGATATTAAAATACATGTATCCACGGTAAACTTCGGTAATAGTTCGTAAACAGGTTTTATCTGCGGCGAATGGATAAAAGTGAGACGAACAGAGAGATCGTTGCGCGGCAGTAGTGGCAGTTTGCTTCCTTATACTTTCCCAATTTTACAGCGGAATAGGTTCAACGCGGGGATATTGGAGAATTACGGAACTCCGATACCTCCTTCGGAGATTGAAAGTGACGAATGCTCGTATCTGTTAGATGAAATGTAAATTTTTTTGTTTCAGAATAGAAACGAGGCACTTCTGCTTCGTCATGCGTGCACTCGCGTTCTGAATAAAAGAATATACATACGCACATTTGAATAAATATGAATTCTAGATACATGTATGCAGAATAAATCTCGTACTGCTGAATACGGTAAAGACATGTAACGTACGATGTAGTAGAAAGAATTAAGAATGATTTGTTGTAGAAATAAAACTGAGCAAGGAAACACAAGTCTGCGATTCGTGTAAGAATATTGTTTATAAAAGTGCAGAATTATTTAGCCTGTCATTTGGTTCGCGTAATAGAGTCAGCTTTACACTAACACTGTTTAATGGTGGACTGCAAATTAAGCCGCATAGGCGCATCTGATTATGCAAAACAGGATTATTAACAACAAACGATGTACCGGCCGTCCAACGTACGTAATAGACGTAAAACGAGGATCGATACCCGCGTAGCAAATTGCTCTATAAGTTGTTTAACGCTAATGCACACTTTAAATCAGTTTTATGCGATTTCGGTGTTCGATAGCCAGATTCATAAATACGGTTGCATTTAATGTGTGTAAAAGTGCGTTGACAGAATCGATAAATTATTAGTGCGAAAGAGGGAACATAACGTTCTTTGGAAAATTCTAAACAGCTGCATACGTACTTTTAGAATTGAAATTTATTTATTTATTTATAATTTATATTGTAAATAATATTTGATATCCTCCAAATAATATTTGATATCCAGGACGGTTGGAGTTTTTAATAAAAAATATTTTAATTGGGGAAGTGCTCTGTATGTTTCATGAAAACATGAACGTCGAACATTTTGAACTATTTTCCACAGAATGTTTTCATACGTCTCTGACGTAAATAAGAACATGGGGAATTGTAAAATATTGAACGCGCGGATCCGAGACTGAAAAACAAAAGCGTTCGGAGGTTTTTCATAATCGACGTCGAATAATGTTCGCTGAATGCGTTAAACCGTGAACGCGTTTATGTACTTGCATATGAGTGGAAAAGAATATTGTACACGTACAGAGTATGGAGAGTTGAGGCGCCCATTCGATGCACTTAACGTTCCTGGGCAACGCGGGCATTTTCTCTCGGGAGCACTTCCACAATATTTGCTGCGGTACTTGCTCGAATGCTCTGTAAAAAGCTGCTAGCACCTGCCTCGGTATGGTGGACGGGTCTATTTGCGAACCCAGGCTAAAGTAAATAACACCGTCGTTGCGCCGCGAGTCCAGAAAATCCTGAAGATCTTTCGATAATGCCACCGGACCTGATACCGGTATATGAATACCGCCCTACTCCTTAACGCCCGGCACCAAGGCTCGTGGCGTGCTTACCACAGGATGCCCGTTCGTCAGAATCAATGATATCCTCGATCGTAGAGTATCGAAATCGGGTAAATCATCTCCGAAATGTTTCCTGGAGATTTCATAGCCTGGGTAATCTGATACGTATCTACATAACAGAGTTCATTTAATTAAAAGACTTCTACTTAGTCCCTAATCGCGTTTCTTCATAAAGGAAGGCTGTTCCAGCACGATAGAACATCAGTGCATATGCATTACCTATACACGAGTTTTGTAATTAACAAATCGAGAGAATTGGCGTCTCTCAAAGAAATTCATCTGATCCGTGAAACTACTGATCCAGTTGGGTATGTAGCTAGGATTTTCGGGGTTCCTCAGGATCTGGTTGGTCCACAGCAGAGAGACGCCTGTGATGCGCACGACCACAACCGGTATCTCGAGGATGTGGACAATACCGAGGAAACAATCAGTGGTGAACAACTCGACGAAGTAGACGTCGAACTTTTCCCTCCCCTCTACGATCTTTTTCAATTCCAGCTGATTTAATACGGGATCGCATATCGGCGTGCCGTGACTCAGCACCCGCTTGAGCTTCGTCCATTTGGACATACTCTCGGACCCGGAGGTCCGACATGGTCCCTAGTAAACTTGGCAGACTCGACGCGATGTCCACATCCGTGAAATTAGGTACAGATGTCTTCTGAGGAAAATAAGACACGGACACGACCTCGTGGCACCTCTGTGCAAGGCTCTTCAACAAAAGTTCGTACACGTTGTAATGGCTCTTCGAATGGTGTGCGAACATCGCCAAAATCTTGGCGCCATTTACACTGGATAAAATACTGCTGATCACAAGTAAGATTAACAGAAGATTTATTCTGCGCGAGGAATTTAATTCGACACTAAAACGTTCTCCGCACAAGACTTGGTTGTCGTCTATAGTAAATGGAATGATCTAAGTGATATCTGTATATTATCACAAGAGTATGCTGTTATAGTTAATTAAGTCGGTGTGTGTATGGAAAACTATGTGACAGAAATCACGAAATCGTTCTCTCCTAATCTTTAAGAGCCGATGCTTCATAGTTCATCAGATAAGATTTCTTATGCGTAAGCAAAAGTTCTGCTGACGGTGCATAGGCGTGGGAGGTTATCGAATTATTTCACGGTTGCGGTACTGATTAATTGTCCCGTTTCTCTCCGCGAAGTTGAGAACGCGAGAGGCTGGCTATTTCCTCGCGCGAGCGAGATTAAAGTGGTTCATTATTAAGAAATGCGCTCGGGAATAAGAATGGTACGGTGAACAGGTTGGTAAGCGAGGAATTAAACCGGGAACGAGTCGGAGAAGTCCGTCCCTTATTCCATTCCTTCACTTCACTCAATTTTAAATTATCCTTGCAATATTGCGCGTGCACTCGCAATATCTCTTAAACAGATAATAGATTTTAAATAATTTCTTCAGACTAATTGAAGAATTCGACGACTGTCATATTTTTATTGAGAAATATTTATAGGAATGAATTTATTAAAAGTCTTAGCCCTGTTTCGGTCCTATTGGGATTTCGATCATGTGATATCTCTAGCTGTGACGTCATTAACGCATGCCTTTCAGACGCGTAATTATAAAAAATCCCACGGGGTACCCTACACAGAATTAACTAATCGGACCATGGACTTAAAGGCATGGAGTTATTATAGATAGAATACGATTATCGATTCATTTTATCGGTGAACTGTACGTGACGTTCCATTCGTTTTGATGAAATGCTGATACAAGTTCGAGACAAGAAATACAGATACAGTAATTAAATACATATTATGTAATAACAGCACTGAAATCTGAAAGAAATGAAACACTAAATTTTTCGTTTAACTGTATGTAAAGTAAAAGCTGTAATTTGTGTTGCGAAAGAAAATTCTCGTATCTCTGGCTGACTACGAAGTTATCTCTGTACTTTAGGAAAAGAAAAATACCATTGTCTTCCAGCAACCGAATCTGAAACCTGGACCAGAGTATAACTTTTCTCGCAACGTTCACCGTTTCACAAGCAAACTTTGGAAAAAGCTGGCTCTTAAAAAAATTTGCCTCTAGTTTCATTACTTAAACTTTCCTTCTTTAAATCACAGCCTAACATCTCTTCCTCGAGATATTCATTTTTATTTTCATTTAATTTCATGAATTCATTAATTCTCATAAACCTTTGTCAATTTTACAACAATATATAAAAGTATAAAACAGCTGTATCTGGTAATGCATACAATCACTCTTGGCTCTAAATCGATTTACTGAAATTAAACAATGTTCTCGTTTCAGTAATTGCTAGCTCTTATTGCCCTGATTTAATTAGTCGACGATATCGCGAAACTTCCGTGCAACGGATGGCGCGAGCGCCCTAAAAAGGCAAGGAGCACAAGATCCTTCTTACCGGTTAGCACACTTGAACTTCCGATAAGAAGAGGTTTACAACTGTCTCCACTGCTCACCGCATTTCATCCCCTTTTTGCATCCGAGTGTGAATATCTGGACTGCCTCATTGCGCGATCGCTCGTTTTTGTCAGTGCGTTCAAATTTTTTCCTGATAAAATCGAAGCTCTCATACTCTTTGACGCGTTTATAGATGTATTATAATATGTACACGTGAGCTGTCAATATGTTGTGTGCGTGGAATTCGCTAGAACACTGACCAACATAATGCTATATATGTGTCCTAAATTCTCCACTTTATGCAGTTAGTCATTCTCTGGTGGCATGCAGGTAGTTTCGTAAGCCCAAGTTATTATCAGGAATAATTGCTCATGAACATAATTTTGATATAACGTCGAAGTAGTAGAGTAGTCGGAAAAGTTCAGTTTTAAAAAATGATGACACTCTTAGATACATGAGGATGCAAGCGCATGGAGAGAGGGTGAACATGTCCCAATTTTAAAATAGCAGTCGAAGGAAGCGAAGTGCATCTATATCCATAAAACAGCTACGTGTAAATCTTCTTGGTGTCCCGGGCCCGAGGGGAAAGAATTTCAGAATGTACTGCGAAAGATGTAATCCTTTCGTCGAGAGCGAGCTCGGGAAAAGACGGTGAAAATTATGAAGAATGCAACTAAAGACGAATTGCATCGTGTGACCTTTCAATTAAAAAAATCTATTACCCTACTTAAGAAATTATTAAACTGGACAGGAATTCATTTATTAGAATTATTCAGTGAAAAATTGGTTTTCTAAAATTTAATATTTTGATAGTAACGATAATCTAAGTAGTTCTCTTACAAATTTTATATTTATAAATTAAAAAACACAGTTTTCAAGATAGTGTGAAGCTGTGTAATGTTCAAATTAAAAAAAGACGGTAGAAGTAAAAGTGTCTTAAAAGACGTTTTATAAAATATTTGTATAATAGAAAGACTTTCTGCCTTAAGAAGTCGCCTTGTCCTGCTCAAGTACAAGCTAAAATATTGTTCACAAAAGCATGGTTAAAAGGAAACGTCATCATTTCTAAGTCTTCCACTTCCTTCTCCTCTTGTTTCTTACTTCAAAGAACAACTACACTCTCGAATTCTTTTGTCCTTAACATTAATTACTTCCCGACGACACTGGAAATGTTTCCTGCAGTGGATTTATCCACGGAGTTGAAAAGGTAAGAAACGACGCACCGCGACGCGACGCTACGCAGAGCAGCCCTTTTTACCGGTTGGCAGGTGAAATTCGAATAAAAAAAAAGTAACCTCTGCTAGGTTCCTTTCCGCTCGATACCGTTGCACTGGTTTCCGTCCAACGAAATTCAACTTCCTTCCCATGAAATGTAGAACAAGTGACTTTCCACGGTTAAAACTTGTCTCGTGACACGCTCGAATGAATCTTTGGCTTTGTCTCCTTGAATATCTATGAAACATCGCGTTACATGCCGCCACGGGTAACTTTTAACAATCGCGAGTTACTCATATGATTTCATCTAAAATTCTCCCGAGTTCACTCGGTCCTTGACAATGGATGAATTCATGTCAAACGATTAAACGACCAGAACCATTTTGATTCTAATATAACAAAAAGTAACGTTGCCTATTTCATATTAAATGGACAAAACATTTCATCTTTAGTACGACAGTACCAATTAGGCATAAGATAAAATTAGTGTTAATTAACGAGAACTGAATAAGAGCGGTCCAGGGCAGACTCCATTGAAAATATCGCTGGGATATAATGACCGGACGTTAAGGGATCCTTTGTCTTCCTCTTCAGTTATGTCCTCCAATTATTACAGCTATTAATTACGCGACGTTACCGGGAAAAGGGAGCTTAAAAGTGACAGAAGTCATCGGACGAACTTTTCCGCCGGAGTAAAAAAAAAAAAACAACTAAGTGAGTTTGTGGAAAAATACAAGAGAGATCGACTGCGCATTTTTGTCCCGCCTGAAATCCATGAAAATCTTGACTCCTCTCGTTCCCCCTTGATTTCAACCAGCGACGAAAAATCTCGTAGTTAAAGGAGAAAAACGTTATCTATTTCAAGAGTTCCTTCTCAACGCTTAACTGCCGTAATTGTCCCGCAATGAATTGTTGAATATTACGCGCGAATGAAAGCGTTCATTGAAACTGAAAGGTCAAGCGTTATTAAATCTAATTATGGACTTCAGGCCGTCAGGTTTGGAGTGGTCATATCCTCGTGTCGTCGTGGCGCATATCACTTTAAATTTCCTTCAATGAAAAGTCTTAAACGAGGAAAGGAATACTTGAACGTCGCGTTGCCCAATGAATTAAAGTTGACGTTAAATCTCAGTGGAGATATACGAGTAGACCCTTTGTTTCCTAGACTCTTGTGTTCTATGTTCAATTGTCACACAGATACGAAAGGATAACATTGATTTCGGGTGTCCCCTGGTTGATTAAACTTTATTGAAGTAATATTGAAGGGTATGGTTTGACAAGGGTGAGTACCAGTTTCCAATTTCCAAACGAAGCAAGTTTCACCTCGTCTCCGGTTCATTCGACTTTTATCACAACGCACTGGTTTCTAGATAGCATGTTAGGAAAAGTCCGCTGAAAACATAGGAATCTATTCGTTCTGACGAAACGTTTACGGATGCGAGCTGGGCGACGAGCGATCGAGTACGATAGCCGCAGACAAATCGTCGCCGACGCGCAATCGAGTGACCTTATCCGAGAAAAATCACGGAACAAAACGGGTCTCGTGTTAACCACGTGGGGAGCTTCACCGGAGTCCGGTCCTTCCGTGGTAAATTAACCAGGAAACCCGAATAGCAGAACGGGAGGGTGAACGGCGAAGGGTGGAGGCCGGAGGAAGTATGGAACGAGATGGCGCAGGACTATTTGCGATGAAACGCGAATCATGGGCAAGGCTCGTTAGAGTACCGTCGGTCGCTCGTTACATGCCGTCACGGAGAATTGCAAAGGGCTTCCAGAGGAAAAGGCGTGCTCGTTTTTCTCCCTCTCAGTGGCAACAACACACCCGGCTACCATGTACCGGAAACTGTCCCGATCTGTCCATCCCCAACCCTACCGTTCTTCACTTTCTTTCTATCCTCTCTTTCTCTCGAGTGTCGTGCGTCGCTCATTACCAGCGTTGAACAAAAGACGAGGAGACCCTACTTCTGTCTTCAACGAGTCTCCTTCCTTGAGCAAAAGTACGCCCAGCATTTTATCATTTACTGCTATTAATAGAATCTTAAGATTCGTTTTACGTAACATATAGGAAATGCGTTTTTCTAAGGTACATAAACTTTTGGGATTGACTGTATAGCCAATACATCCTTAAGGAAATATGATCTATAAAGAAAATGCATTGTTCCTTAATGAACTGATAGTGTGTATTTATATTTATACAATAATAAATTATTGTACTTATATCATTGTACAATTTAGATTTGCAATCACAGTCATTGTATATATCGAATCTTTTTTTTTTTCAAGTACAGCCAAGTTGTCTAATAGTACTGGCAGCGATGAATTATAATGTTTGAATAGTACGTAATTTTTAGTTTTACGATCATGGTGATTTCACAAGCTCTCTGTATGGCTTCCGACGAATGTACTGCAAGCCGGGAATGTCTGTTGCCTGGTCAGAATGTCGTTCTTGATTAAGGATGGCGCCTGGAATCTTGGGAACGTATTTGTGCCTTTCGCCGCTGCCCTTGTGAGCGTAACGTTTAGCGGTGACACGAGGCTCGAGGGACTACCAGCCATGGTGGATACTTCAATCCGGGCACGCTTAATGAGGAGTTTATAGAGAAAAATGATGCTTCACGGAATTACTTGGTTGTTTGTTAAGGCGTCTCGTATGCCAGTTACGTCTACGGTACATAAAATGAGAAATGTATATGTATACTGTGTCTTCTCTGCCAATCTTGTTCCCTTTGAATGTCAAATATTTATCTTTAAAATTCTTGACAACGTTTCAACTGATATTAAATTAATATTGAATATATTTAACAAAACTTTTTATACATAATATTCTGTAATACAATTTAAATTCATTAAATTTTTCATTTGAATTTTCATATCTTTTAATACTCCGAGTTTTACTATTTTATTACCGAGCGATCAAATCTGTGTCAACTAATTAAGGTTACTTGACCAGTGTCTACTCCATGCTCCAAAAATCCCAATTGTTAAAGCGAACGTTTGGAATCTCGCAGACTGAGAACCGAATGCCACTTCGAGTTCGGTAGAAAATTTTAATTACCCCCGAGCCTCTTGAAATAAAATTTTTCAGCCGGCTTTAAAGAAAAATTTGACTAATTACCTGTGCAACACGGTCTGATTAGCATCGGCGTCGGTCGAATAAAACTTCATGTTATGTTCCATTGAGATGGATTACTGAAGCAAAAGCGCGCAAACTGAAATATTCCCGGTACAAATTTCCTGTGAAATGTTATCCTTCATTAATGAAAATATCGCGAGGTTCTTGCAAAGTCTATAAACGAGTTGATCGTATTTAAAAACATAACTAATTCAAAGCTTCAGAGACCGAACTTGTTGAAGTGCTAGACGTCGGGGAAAGTTACTAAGTCAAAAATAATAAAATAAAAGTTCTAAAGGTGGATATTTAACCGTGAACTCATCACCGTCTTAAAAACAACTCCCATTAAAATATCAGAAATTTTATTCGACTAGCGAAGAATGCGAAAGTTTTGTTTCACAATAACCTTCCGCTGAGAATTTGCACAATTGAATTATTGCAAAACATTTAATAGCAGGTACTTAAAAACTTTTGAGCGACCAAGAAAAATGTGATAAATGCGAATGGTGAAACTATTGACAGATTGTACTAATAAATTGTCATCCGATTGAAATATATTAATAAAGGAGACGACATGATTAATTTACGACACGTTTCTTCGATCTGTTTTCCAATAACGCTCAACATTTAGGAGATAAATAAATTGATTTCTTTCAAATTCTTTGGACGGTACGTTATTACATTTAGAGGGTACGATTTCCAGACCAATCTGAGAGGAATCGATGAAAAATTTCGAGGTGTCTGGCCATTCACGCAGTACGAGCCTAATGAAATTGACCATGATACCGTGGGAGCAGGGATCTTCCTTTGATTTTAGGACGGTAGTCAAGCGAAGTGCTCGCCGCAGGGAGGGTCGCAATAATGTTGCAAACGAGGGTGAATCCCAGCAGGGAAAGGATAGAAACGAATGAATTTTTACTCATAAATATTATGCTTTTATTTCATTTCCATTGGCAACAAACATAATAATTAAAGGTATCATTAACATTTTCAGATATATAATAACATAAAATGTTTATTCACCAAATATTGCTCTTAGAAATGCTCAGAATGAATGGTTTCTTGTATGCACGAAGTAATGTTTGATAAAAATATATTGGCAGTAAAATTAGGAAAAAGTAGAAAATGAAATAAGCTATAAATCATTTCTGATGATTTTCCACTATTCTCTCTTGTGCGCAAATATATGAAATAATCAAATATTTTCTCTTCTTTTTCTGTTAATTGCCGTTCCGCGTTCGTAGAACAATTTTTCCCATAAACACTTACTACGCGTGTAGGAACGTACATGATGTCCAATATCACTTCCACTAATTGAATTTTGGTAAATTCGATGTTGACGGGCTCCATTAAAATTTATCAGACCCAGTCGTGCGCTGGTTAAATCGAGAAGCAATAACTGGCGCGTTCCGTTCAATTTCAAGTGCATATTAATTTATCGCCAGTCGAAACCGAGAAATTATGTCTGATAAATATATTTTTTTCCTCTCCATTCTCGTTTTCAATTTCGGATCGTGTTAGCTTTCATCGTAAACATTTATAATTGTTGTACCAAGTGGGAATGAAATAACCTTTCAGAAGATTAGTACAAAATTACGTAATTTAAATGGATATAAATAAATAGAATTACTGGACCAAATAACGATAAACGTAGACGAAAATTGTTGCTGTCGTCTAAGGCTATTAATATAGAAACTAATTCTAGAAACTTGAATTTCACGTTTCGCAGGGGAAAACTATACTACAATTTATCCTTGCATTTTTCGATATAAAAAATAAATGAGAAAAGGAACGAAAAGTAATTCAACAATATAGAGCCCTTTTGAGCTTTATACAAGCGTCGGCGCGCCGACGAGTTCGTTTTCCATTTAGTATGATGTATAGGTGTCCTGGCGGCGGGACGTAGCGTAGTAATGAAATCGGCCGGACTGGCCAACCAACAACGGGGTTGTCCCTTTGATTTCGGGACTGAACGAGGGAAGCGGCTGGATAGAAGGAACCCGAAGATAACTCGGGGAGCGAGGGTAAATTCCGTGCGCGCACTGTGGACGCAAAAGAGCTCGCCGATGAATGGAAAAGAAAGGGGAACGCGCGACGCGACGCGGCAGCCAAGAGAATTTTCGGTTTTCGGCGCCGTTCGCCCGTAATTCCACGCGTGCCCACTTGAGATAACTCTTGTTCAGCAAGCATTAACGATACCTCTGATCCGGTTGAGCGGCGCTGGAGAAACGCCGATAACCACGACTACCCTTCCGGTCTGATGAAGACGCCATAGGCTCCCCTCTCCAGTGCTGACTGTACGCGTTCTCGAGATCTGTCCCCTTCCCATCTTTCGCTCTCTCTGTCCTCGTACACGGTAATAAATCCCGTTCACCCCGAAAACCGAATCATCTCGATATAATCTTTGGGAATGTCTGAGCGCCGAGGACGATCTCGAGGGAGAGCGAGGGAAACAGAGATAGTTCCGTTTGAAGTCGTAACTGCTGGATATTAGGTACGCCCGCGTTGCACGCACGACGAACCTTTGGACGAGAGACGGTCCTTGAAACAGGATAAAACATTCTAGAGATTGCGGCAAGACCCGAAAAGCATCTTTCCGTCGAGAACGGGATTGAATTCTTCTCTGAATAGCTACGCAAGACGCGTGCTCGTTCCTTTTCCAGCTTTTGTTTCCAATTGCGAAGTTACACGAGGTAATACGCGAAGTACGAATAGTATGCATTGCGATTTCACAAAAATCCAGAGAATACAATATTAACGAAAGTAGAATGTCTATCTTTCGACTTGTATTAAGTTAACAGCCGCATACAAAAACTTAACGTTTATTCAAGAGAGTTTCCCAATTTTCTGACGTTTACCATTCAGGAACGCGTTTCACATACCCGTTGACCTCTCCGCAATTGAATTCAATTAGTATCGCTTGAAGGGTAGGAAGGAAGCAAGGAGGAAGGGATGAAAGTTTCTTTTCTGCCAAGCTTACTTTTCCCTCTTTGTTCTTGGTCTGGCCCCGGGGGAATGTTCTTAAAATTAGTTCGCATTGGCGTGATGCACGGTGCGCTCGGTTCATTTCGAAAGCTCCCGAACTCTCTTTTCTCCTTTCCGGCTGACAGCGGGATTTAAATCGACTTCTTTCGGTTCGCCTACGACGCTGTCGACTGGCTCTCGGACCGAGACGGAAAGGCACTTTTAATTTTCTTTTAATTATACCAATTAATTTTCCACTGGACGAACAAAGGATACGGAGTACGCTTGTCGAGTAATCTTTATCGAATGCCGCCTGGCCACACCGTTACGAGTCACGTGGTGTCCCAGCCACGTTTGACCCTAATTCGGAACTTGAAATATTTTCAATTTAGACAACAGGAGTACTTAATCCAACTTATTTGAGCAAAAGGAAAATTATGTGAAGAAGCAAAATATAGTATCAATAGTAAATGAGCATTTCATATCGTAAATGATTGGCGTATTTAATTGGCTATATGTATTATTTAAATGAGGTAGAAAATAAAATTTTAATATAACTTTGCAAATGTAATCGACTCTCCCCATTAATTTTCTACGTGGTTGTCGTTTAGGTAAGAGACAAGCGAAATTTACGAGTGCACGCGATATCTGCGCAATATCTCGATCGCTGCTGCCCGATCGTTCGACGGACAACGAAAAACGAGGGACGGCAGCAATTTAGCGCCGCTCGATTGTCTGGTTAGCAAGCAGCTGGGAAATTAGCCAGGGTGGCGCGCGATCGTCGATCGCGCCTATCGCTACAAAACAATCGGAACAGGGGGTTGAACGTCCGATCGCGAAACACGACGCCGGTCCACGACAAGCTTATCGCAGTTCGAAAACTGCTTTTACTAGGCGGTCCGGCGTTTTGCAGCAAAAGATTTATCTTGTTGCGGCGCGTCGCGTGTCGCCGTGCAATTTAGCTATTTTTTTTTTTTTTTTCACCAGCAAATTGTCGCCATTGCCAATGGTCCGATATGACGGGGACAATGGGGAAGAAAGGAACATGCCAATTGCATCGGCATTGGCCCCGGCCAGTTTTGCGTTTCGTTCCTGGGGGATGCAAAATTGATTTAATGCGTCCGTGCAGCAGAATCACGCAAGCGCGCGGATCCGCTTCGCGTTTACGCGATCAGAAAAATTTTACGCACACCTGCGTGCGTGTACATCGGTTTATCTCTGTTTTTTCTCTCCGTCACGAGGTTACATCCTTCTTCCGCTAGGGACCACGTTCCCCGTTCCAGGAACCGAGGAGTTTTGATCAAAAACGAACGTCCAATAAAACAGGAAAAAATATCCAATTAACCGTTTTCAATTGTTCGATTGTTTCATTTTTTCCTTTACCACTCTCTAATTCGCGTTACTTCTATCGCCTCATTCCCGTTGCGCATCGCTGCTATAGATCGATTTGTCAATCGGTAATTGCTCTAACTGCCTGCAT